GATTTGGTTATGAAAAAGTACGTATCAACCCAAAGAGTTTTGGGTTGATACGAGCATATTTTGGAAAGAAGTCGAGCGAAAATTCAATTTTAAAATTTGACGCAAAAGATAGGTGAGTATGTGAAAAAGTCAATTGATTTTCGTGAAAAAACGATGTATTCCGATGAGGTTTGTATATGCACGAATAACAAGTAGGGTCTACTGAAAGTATACTTTAAAATTTTGGTTGGTTCTATTCTAGTTCTGTGAACTTGATGTTATTCATCACAAGGCCTGGTTGGCAAAAAAATTATATAACTTTCAAAACGAGAGTCCAAGGATGATATGAACTTTCTTTGAGAGAAATATGGTGATTTTCTCTGCTGGAACATATTTGATGATAAGCAATGTGAGATGGCTGTAGAAAACGAAGAGATAGATCACATAGTAATGTCATCGACATAAGTCAATAGCCAGAAACCAGTTGGTTAGCGTAAGTATTTTGTTCTCATTTAGTCAACCGCTATTCTATTTGAACGTTGGGTCAAGACCAACTGGCAGCTGATCGATGTTCACTGTGTATCGTCTAACCCGTGTTGGGTAACGCGGTAAGACCTCGTTAATCTTCATCTTGTACGGCAGCGGTCGACTGAATGAGAAACACGCTAACCAACCGGTTACTGGCTATTGGCTAAGTGATCTATCTCTCTCTCATGTTAAGCATTTTCATATTACATATTTTCAAATACTCTCTAGCAGTGAAAATNTGTATAATTCATTGTTCATATAGAAGTAGTTGTTTTGAAAGTATTTTTTTTCTTTCGTGTAATTCAATTTTTATGTGAAAGTAGATGTTTCTGGAGGACTTTCCTCCAGTTTGTGTCTGAAAGTTACTTCTTTGCATGATCTATACATCCATGTATAGAGTTACTTATTTTCAAATTGATTTACTTCCTTCCTTTCCTTGAAAGATTCCCACATCTTTTTTTGTATCAAGATGGAGTAGTAGGAAGCCATAAACTTTCTTTCTCAGACGCTCTTTCTCACGGTATTTTTATTTTAGTTCAGTGGCAGAGCAAATTTTATAGTTCAAGTAAAAGTATTTATTTTTTTCCCAAGTCAGCTACGGTCATCCAATGGTATTGAAGTCAATTTTATGAATGTTTTCAGATGCTTTTCCCAACAGTATTTTTTGTTCAGTGGCAGCGGACTTCTATCTGGAGATTTCACAGTAGGAGGAAAAGTTTTAATGTTTTTCCAAGTATCCTACAGCCATCCGAAGGAATCAGAAGGTAATTTTACGTTTGTTTTCAGTTGCTCTTCCCAACGGTATTGTTTGTTCAGTGACAGCGGATCTCCATCTGGAAATTTTATAATACAAGAAAAAGTTTTTCATTCAAGTCTCCTACGGCCATCCAAAGGAATCTAAAAGCAGTTTCATGAATGTTTTCATATGCCCTTTACAACGTTGTTTTTTGTTCAGTGGCAGCGGATCTGGAAATGTTATAGTACAAGAAACAATTTTAATTTTTTTCAAGTCTCTTTCAGCCATCCATAGGAATCTGTTGAAGACACTGTATATAAGTTTAATATTTTTATTTTGACAGATTAATCACTTGTTTTAAGACAATTCAATATTGAGAATTTACTGTAAGTCAAGTTGAATAAAAGTTGCATTTAAAACGGCATTAACCAGGTTTATTAAACCAAAAAATTTTAACATTGGTCCTATACCTAACTAACGGATTCAAAAAACACTTTATTGTAAGATTTTCACTGCAATTTCTGCAAAGATAATTCGAAGGTTTTATTGAAATGACATCTTACTTAACCCCTTATTAAATAAAAAAATAGAGTTGTAAAATTCCGTAAAAAGAGTGTCCTCCCTTCACACAAAAATGTACGTTGTTCTTGAATCTTCCTGATAACGGAACTATTTCGTTATCGTTTTGGTCACCATGTATCCATCTATATACGAGAGCACAAGTCTATTTATAAAATAAGGATGACTTTGAACTGGTTTCATTTATCCAACTGCCACTTTAGTTTCATAAATAATTTTAATTTGCATGTTTTAGATTTTGATATATTTAGATACAGCGTGATTCACGGTCGGTGGTTGGTTAGACGTTTCTGGAAAACGCAATGCAGGATTTCCCTGAAAATTTCACATCTTACATTTCCTTACCTGTTCTATCGATCCGAAATATTTTCGGGATTGCGGTGTTGCCACTTCCATCAAAAATTCCTAGCAACTTTTTTTTTTATAGAATACCCCGTATATTAACACATTTTTGGAATCGATCTTTTATTATTATTATTTTTGTTATCAATGTGCTATACCTATCTCTATCGGTTTTCGTGATAAAAAATAATTTGTTCTAAATATGGACCAAAACAAAGACCTAATTGAACTTGAGTACCTACACCAAGTACTGTCAATTCATGAAAAGTTGATATTTTGATGACAATTTCGATAAACCCAAAATAATCGATTAACACCAAGAAATCGATTCCATATCATACAGGGCGTGCTAAAATTACTATTATTTCCATTATGCATAGAAGTAATCAAAAGTTATTTTTTTCAAATGATACCCCTATATATCACTCGATAAATTGAAATATGATGAAGAATGCTTCAAGGTGATATATCATGTCCTTATACCTAAATCATAAAGTTTTCTTAATAAAGTCACTTCTTCTGGAAACATTATTTTTTTAAGAATTTGGTTTTAGGTAGCAGTGGAATTATCAAGTTTGGTTACTTTTATAAGTAACTAGTGGTTGCCCGCGTAGAATTTAGTAGTTGTAGTACTAATTAGTACTATGTACATTGGAACAGCAGCGATACAGCTGCTGTTCCAATATTTTGACGGAATCAGAATCAACGAACTTAGGCGTGCGCAGCGTTATAACCACTGTTCTATAGAACAGTGCTTTCAAAAAATTGTTCTACAGCGCCATCTTGTGGCGAGTTACAGAAAAAGTGATAGCCTGAAAACCTCTATGAAAAAATACTATACATGTCAAGTTTCATCACGATCGGTTGAGTGATTTAGAAGTTTATCACTTACCAACCAACCAACAAACATCCATTTTTATATATTAGATTTACAAAAACCTAGTTATCGACGATGTTTCAAAATATCTTCCAAAATTATTGCAAATATTGATTATTCTTATGAAATTATTTATTTCACATGAACAATAAAGTGATCAAATAACATTTATGAAGACTGACTAAATGCAAAGAGATATTTTCAAATATTGAGGACGACTCTTACCGATTTCCTCGATAATTTGCCTGTAGAGGAATAGAGAAATTCGTGGTTTCAACTGGACGAAGCGCCAGCTCATTCCACCCGGGAAGTTCAATTTCAATTCATTCACATACCATAATTATCAGAATTCACATGTTATAATTTATAAATGTTATATTCCACTTCAAAAACAAACAACCCACCTAAGAACCTCAATTGCTTGTGTTGTGTTTTTTCCAGGAAAATTTACAAAATGTTTGACGATCGTTGGTTTAGGCGTTTAGGGCCATAAGATTGATCTCTGAGATCACCCGATCTCACGCCACTTGACGTTTTTTATGGGGTGTTTTAAAAGAAAGGGTGTACACTAATCCAATGCCTACCAAAGAAGAACTGCGACGGCGAATATTGCGTTGTATTGAAGATTTGGATCCCCATGAAATTGAAAAAGCAGCCATAACTCGCGTACAAAAGAACATTTAAAAATGTTTAGAATGTAATGGACAACATTTTCAGCATTTATTGTAAAAATGTGATATTTTGTTTAAAATTTTGTTATTTTTAATTATCCTAATTCTGTTATTTTTTCTACTTTCACATGTTGTAGCCCAGAAAACCTTACTTTTTATCTAGAAATGCCTGATTTTTGGTACAGTTGTTCCCTGGAAACTTTGAACCATAATTAAGGAAATTATTTTGTAACCTACAAACTTCATCTCGTTCATTGGTGTTAATTGAGGATACATTTGATTGAATATTCAGCAAGTTCTGACACTGATTTGATCACTTTGTTGATGTGTAATAAATCATTTCATAAGAACTTCGTTTGAATAATCGATATTTCATTCATTTTGGAAGATTGTTTGAAACACCGTCGATAACTATTTGTAAATTACTTATAAAAGTAACCAAACTTGATAATTCCACTGATACCTAAAACCAAATTCTTGAAAAAATAATGTTTCCGGAAGAATTGACTTTATTAAGAAAACTTTATTTGTGTATAGGGACATGATATATTTATCTTTCAATTTATCGAGTGTTATATATAGGGTTTCATTTGAAAAAAATGAACTTTTGACAACTTTTATGCATAATAGAAATAATAGTAATTTTAGCACGCCCTGTATGATTTGGAGTCGATTTCTTGGTGTTAATTATATATTTCGAATTTGTCCAAACTATCATCAAACTATCAGCTTTTCATGGATTGAGAGTAGTGATGTACTTTAAGTTCAATTAGATTTATGTTTTGGACCATATTTAGGACAAATACTTTTTCATCTCGAAAACCGAAAGAGATAGGTATAGGACATCATTAACAAAAAAGTATTATAATAAAAGAGCGATTCCAAAAATGTGTTAATATACGAGGTGTTCTATTTAGAAAAATAAAGTTTCTAGGACTTTTTGATAGAAGTGGCAACGCTGCTATACTGAAAATATTTTAAGTCGAAAGAACAGGTTAGGAAATTTTCAGAAAATTCCTGCGTTGCTTATACTATAAACTTCTAACCTATCATCGACCGTGAGTTACGCTGTATAGTTCAGATTTGTTTGTATTTGCGATAACGTTTCAACTTTTCATTGTTGTTCAAATTGATCGAAAATTTTGGTTCATATTTTTTCCGTTTATCTGAATCACTAAAAATCTTGCTTCTACATTACCTTTTGCAATTACCTAACATACAGTGCTAACAAAAATATATTTAAATGAAAGACAACACACAAACAAATTTTTTTTAATAGCAAATAAATTTCCTAAAATGCATTAATATTTGGTAGTAATTTCATATTCATATTTATCAGACCATCAAAATCAGTATAGAATAATATTACAATGGAATAAAAAAAGGAACTGTAAACAAATATATGAGAGATTGTACTAAATAATTAACTAAATTCAAATTATATAAATAAACGTGTATTCATATATGACTACTTGCATCGATCATTTCATCGAGAAATTTTTCCCACGCCTTTTCCCAAAGCTTCAAAGCATTTAATTTCTCGTTGTTTTCCATCGAGCTGTATTTTATAGAATTCAAAGCGAATTGCTTCAAGGTCTCAATACCCGCGGTTCTTGATGTCATCGCCATAAAAACATAATACCAGTCATAACTCAGGCCCGTAGCTTCCCATACAGAAGGATCGTCGTTACAAATAACCACAGGAAATCCTTTAGCCATCAAAGAAACCATCGGATGATTTCGCGGATCTTGGATAAGCATCAACACTTGATTAGAAATTGGACACAATTCAACACACATTTCTTTTTCTTTGGCGATCTTAATTAAAACTGGGTGTTTATCCAGTCCAAAGCCGTGTCCGATCCTTGATGTATTCAGAAGAACAGCATCGACGAGATTGAGATCAGTATGCCCAAACCAGTTGGTTTCTCCTGCATGGAAATAAAATTTCAGGTCCTTGCTGGCTTCCAGGAGAATTTCGTGAAAATCCAATAAACTTTTTCCTTCTTCCTCATACCCAACGAAATCGAATCCTACTATGAAGTCTGGGAATTTTCGTTTCAGTTCAATCAACTCCTCAAGACCACTCTTGAGAACTTCAATAGTCACTCCTCGATATATAGAATGTATGTAGCGTACCCCGAGAAAATCGGGATGACCCCTTTTGAACTCTTCAACGGTTTCGATGAATGCATTGAAGAAATATTCATTGTCGTACTTGGTACCGTTAAGGTCATACAAGCTCATGAACGTACCTCTAATCTCTGTATACATAACGTTATCTAAGTACAATTCTTTGAGGAGTTGCTGTATATACTCCCGAAAAAAGGGGGAATAGCTTATCAAGTCAAACTCTGTGGTGAATATTTTTTTGAAGTGGCTCCATGCTATATCTGCCGTAGGGTAGGTTTCGTGAGGATTTTCTACCACTAAAGAGAGTTGTTTTCTCAACCAATTGTCGAAATTTGGGTCATTTCTTCGGTATTCGGCCAAAGCTTTCCACTGGCACCTTTTGTCCTGGTCAGCGGTACGGAGAACAATGAGTTTGAAAGTTCCATTCAGGTCACACCCGTACACATTTTCTCTGTACGTGAAATTATCCATAATGAAATCTACAGAGACACCTGCGAGTAGGTGTGTATGTAGGGATGCTCCTTTCGGTATTTTTTTCAATGTAGAAAAAACTTTCGATGAATTTATCTTAGGTTTAGCCTTGAAAAAATGTTGCGAAGGCAGAAAATTGGTGATATTTTCATATCCAAGGGTTAGTTCTGCTAATTTATCTTTCATGATTATTTTATTCACCTGCATTTCTTTTTCAGACAGAACAGTGTTGCCTCCGATGAACATGTATTTTTCCATTTTCAAGATTTGATGTCTTTCTTCCATATATTTATCACTTACACAAACGACATTCTCAGCCATTCTGCACAATATCACTGCTGCGACCGCAACGACGGACAGGTAATTCGAAAATAAAACCATAATTGCTGGAAGTGGTCCGACCGCTACTGAAGCTATTGAAATTTGTAATACCCACATAAGCCTCTCGATGTTTTCGGGGATTCCCAGAAAATGAATTTTTTGGTAAAAACAATCGATACATTTGAACTACGTATTTATATGAGTTTCGATATTTACTCTTTTTCTGTTAGTAAATATTTGTCAACACAATGATAAAGGATATCAATATCAGTTTTGTGTTTCTGTACTGTTACGGAATAATCGTATGCATTTTTTGGGTTAATAAACTATCAAATTTCATATGATTAGTCAATATCCCGCAATTCTTTTTTGATCAGTTTGAATAGCTTTATCAACAATGCTTATTTTGTATGTGAACTTCAGTCTTTATTCTAAAGGGTACTATAGATGAATACACTGATATTTTTATTTTATTGATATTGGTGTGATAGTAATAAATACCTAGTCATAGTTTTACAATTAATGAAAACTGGTGACCTTTGTCTTTCTCAAGCCAAAGATATATATGTCGGAGATCAAATCAGTGATGAACAACACTTTGAAATCTGTGGAAATATTGTTTATGCCAACAAAAGTATAATCTTCTCTTGTATACAGTCTATCGTTCACCAACTGGAAATATTGGTGTTTTCAAAACCAAATTAATTAGCGTTTTAGAATTAGTTAGTCAAAAATCTATGGATGTTATAGTAGGTGGGGACTTCAACATTAATTTTGGTGTATATAATAACACCTCTATAGAGATAATCAACATATTTCAGTCATATGGATATTAAAAAAATATATCGGATTTTACAAGAGTACAGAAAGGATAAAAAACTGAAATTGACAATATTTTTACCAATTTATACGTAAATAAAGCGTATACAGTGGACTACCTTCTCTCAGACCATAAGGCTCAAATAGTAGAAATCAATTACGGACGTGGGATGAGAAAAAATCAAACGAAAATAATACGGAACAAAAGTTTAAATAACAGAATTCTTCTGTATCGGATATACAGTGTCACCATTAAAGTGCGCACCTTATGGGAAACTTTTTATTCGAAAAGTTTCAATGAAGTTCAACTTCGGCACTTGTTTGTGCTTAAGAAAAAATCAATTCAGTGAAATTAAAATATATCTAATTTGTAGCTTGCGAAAGAGAGACAGGCTGAGGTAGAGAAACTAAGGGAAAAAGAGCAGGAGAAAACTAAAAAAATCAATTCTACCAGAGAGTTGAAAGTATTCAAAAGTGGTGTTGCCAAATATGTAGATCCTAATGCAACTAAGAGGTGAGTTTATTATATGGTGAAATAAAAATAGGAAAATAAATGATATCTATTGTAGTATGAAGGTTTATGAAAATTTTGCATTAAAAATAAAGAGATTGATAAACTAAGATTTTCAGAAATTCACAAGGAATTTTTTTACTGATATAAGAAACATTTTTTTTTATAGAAAGCACTTCGAAATTATGCAATAACTTATCTGTGAACTGAAAAGTTTTTCTTTTCTTCACCTGTATAAAGGGTTTCCATTACATACTTTTATTTTTTCACAGATTGTTTAAGGTGAAAATAAACAAAAACGATCGATGAACAACTCTCATTTACTCCACAAAAAATGACATTTGTTCAATATTCAAAACAGGTGTATTTCTCTTTCTTAGTATGAGTACAATCTGAATAAGAAAAGGTGTTTTTTGTATTATTCAATGCTCATATAAAAATGTATATGAAAGTAGTTATTTCGACAGGGTTTTTTTCTTCCAGTATGTGTCTGAAAGTAACTTCTATGCATGATCTACACATCTTTGTAAAGTAAAGAGTTCATTTCGAAATTAATTCCTTTCTACCTTCCTCTGGAGTTGTTATACATTTTTTGTATAAAGATGGAGAAGTAGAAAGCCAAAACCTTTTTTTCCTAAAAATCAATCAGTTGTAAAAATATACCTACTCAATTTAAGTATTTTCATAAACTACACCTTACGATTTGATCAAATCGTAAAGTGTAGGTAGTTTACTGTTTAAAAATTTTGTTTAAAATCTGTTTTTCCGTTAATCAGCTGTTGCCCCCATACGAACAACAACTCTCAGAAGTTGAGAAACTTGTGCGAGGTAAGGACTAACGAGGCCTTACCTTTTAACGTGTGATTCCTAATACTATGGACCTTCATCAAGTAACGGCTAAATCATTCGAAAAAAAAAAGTCAATTTAAGTTAATATGATACTGTATAGTATAATTCATCTCCTGATGACGTCTTCTCGGTACAGTATAGTACAGTTCATCTCCTGGTGACGCCAATTTGGTTGGTGAAATGTTTGTCAAGAAACGTATTCCAATTCGTGTCTTTCTACGTCAGAGTTTTCAGTTATAATTTTCAAAATTCAACCAGTTTCAAATTAGAATTTGTAAAGCTTCATTATTGGTCGGTCGGTAGCCAGGCGGTTCGACGTGGGTGCTTTGTTCACTCACTCGAATTGACTGCCGTGTTGGTTGCTGGTTTAAGCTCCAGTTTGAACGATCGATTTTCACTTGCTATCGTCCAACCCGTGTTAGGAATCACATGTTGAAAGGTAAGACTTCGTTAATCCTTAGCTAGCACAATTTTCGACTTCTGAGGGTCGTCGTTCGTAGGGGTGCGACGCTGGTTAACGGAAAAACAGATTTTTTTGTTATTGAGCACAAGAACCTTGAAATGCTTTCGTTCTACATTATAAATTATTAATGATAACATTTTTTGGTTTCAACTTCCATAATCTTTTTAAAAAGGAAACAACGTTTTGGAAACCCTTATTATTTGACTTTAGCTCATATAGTGTTTTCAAAAGTTTTGTTCCCAAAACATTTTTCAATATGGTGGAAAGTAAAAAAGCCAAAAAACTATCCAAAAAATGATTAACTTTGATAATAACTTAAGTTAATGTAATGTAGCATATTACTTTATTATATAATTGTTAATTTTATTCTCAAATGGCGGTGATCCCGTAAAATAAATAAATAAATAATATTCAATATTTTTGCTAGGCTCGAAAAAGATGATACCGATGTGGAGTCAGTTACACAGAGGAAAAAATCATTTAATTCTTTCAACAATTTTAATGGCTGGTGAAGAATGAAGACATTGGTAAAGGTATTACATGTGTTTATATATAACCCTAGGATATAGAAAAATGTATATAAGATAATAAAATATGAAATTTGAAAATCCTTTTTTCTTGTATAAAATAGTGTATTATATATTAAGGCAATGTACTTGTATTGACTTCAATTTCAATTCCCAACATAAAGAAGAAATGTGGTTTTATGTTTCAGGCCAAACAATTCAGAAAGATCAGAAATAATTCTTAACATTCGAAACATACCCTTCACCAAATCTGAATTGATTTTTATATGTTTAGGATCAAATAAATAGAGAATTGTTGAGAGATCAAACATCTATACCAAATTCAACCAATATTAGTCAGTGTATCTATAGAAATTTGTTTATAAGTTGGAATTGAAAATACCTAGCTTGTTCAAAACAGAGTAGTTTGGTTTTTCAAGTTCCATGTGATGCACTACATAATTGAATTGATAATAATATAATAGATATACCAGGTGGCAAAAATTGTATTTACACTATTGCTATCTTGGTAATGTTTTGGATGTTTTCCGGGTTTTGCAGTGGTCTTCTTTGGTTTCAATCTCCAAACCCGGATACCATCCAAAACATTGATGCCAACTGTGAAAGCCTTTCCTATGTCTCGATAATATTGGAAGATATGATGTTGGTTAAATTAAACAAAGAATGTACTTTTTAGAATGAAATGAAATTATTTTGAAAAATCTAGACTATTGTGAGACGTTCTCGAAATTATCGAAAAAAAAAAGAAATTGTTAATTTAAATTTTTCTGCTTTGCAATCTCTATTATATAGAATATGTAAAAATGTATGAAGTTTTATGATTAAAATTGAATGAAAGCTGCAATATGCACTTTTTTTTTCATATAACATTTTTTTTTACCTCATCAATTATTTTTCAGATACCGACCAGTAATTTTTATAGCAAATTATGATACCTCCTTCAATTCTGCATTCACACACATAGCAAACTACTCCATATCTCTCTCAACTTGAGAAAAGTAAACGAATATAAATGAAATATAAATTATTTTTTTGTGTTGTATATCTTTATTCAGAAAATAGTATTACCATGTTATGACTAGTATTGATTTGAATTACTTCGGATACAATGGACTGAATAAAAATGAAAGGAACGGGTAACTTAATTCATGTGATGGTAGCATGTTGTCTAATTTATTGGCGAAGATAAAACAAACATGGTGGGATGCCAAAATATCTTTGTTAATAATAGACGGATCGGGATTGTGTCATTTTGAAAGTATGTGCCATAATATCTTGATAAATAGGTAAATGATCAGTCCCCTTTTCAAGTTGTATACAGAAAGTTGTGTCGTCGGCAAACATATTTGTTAGTAAATTATTGCAGGATATGAAATCTGGCATATCATTTATGTATATCAGAAATAAGAGTGGTCCCAGTATAGAACCCTGGGGCACCCCTCTCGTTACAGACATATACGAACCCATGACATTGTCAACAACTACTGCTTGGCTACGATGAGATGAGTATGACTTGAAGAAATTAAGACAGGTACCACGTATCCCGTATCTGTTTAGTTTTAATAATAAAATCTGGTGGTCTACACAGTCAAATGCAGCTGATATGTCAGTGAAGATTCCCAAACAGTGTTTATTCTCCTCAAAACAGTTCTCAATGTATTCAGTCAAAGATTTTAGGGCATGATTTTGGTATATTTATAATACTATTCAAATGGCTTTATACCACCCCTAAAAATATATGCATCAAATGTATATCAATAAATCATTCAAAATATGACAATGATACAGTCATACTGGCAAAGCTTGTTATGTAAAATGAACATATTCATATACATTAGTGATGCGCCGAATATTCGTTTGGTATTCGACGTATTCAGCATCTTTTTCACTATTCGTATTCAGCCAAATCATTTGGTTTTGGTGCCCAATATATTGGGTTCCAGTATTTTTATTTTCTTGGCTACACGATACAATACTTTTTATGTAAGATTTATTTTGTATTATAAGTCAAAAAAATCCTTTGAAGAAAGTGTTGAATAAAGCCGATAAAATAAAGCAATTGAACTTCAAATCAACGTTTATTTTTGAATATATCTGTAGTATTATTACCATTTTTTGCATGAGTTCTATGGAATGGTTTATCATCAATTTTTCACAATCACTTTTCAGAGTATCTTATGAAAGAAAGTTGGAATAATGTATATGAAGCTAGAGATATTGACGTTGCGATTGAAACAATTCCTGACTTTGCATTACATTGACATGTGCTTCGCTCTTTTGCTCAATAACCCTAAAAGATAATCTAAATCTAGTTCAATCACACGTTTTTTTTTGAGAAACCCAAAGTACTGTATCAAATTCAATTTTAGACACAGTCACCTAAACACTAAAATTATTAATGTGCTCATAAAAAAAATCATGAAAGAAGTATATGTAGCAGCAGAATAATTGGAGAATGGACATCAGGACATCAATACTTTTCATCTGCTAATAAATCGAGGGCAGTTTAAACACTTGTTAGTAATGATACTAATAATAATTATAAAAATACAGGTGCAACTAAAATTTCAAAAATACTAGTTAANTTACTTTCAGGTATCCACATCGAAAACCGAGGACAATCTAGCTCAAATTATGTCAACTGCTCCCTGTATCCTTACAACCTCAAATTTATCCTATAACGAAAGGCTATACGAAACGAAAGAATATATTCCAAACAAATAATGGGCTCACCTAATTTTTTACATTCATCCAGTGCGTTGGAAAATCATAATGTCCGGGGGATATATCTCCAATAATGTTTGCAATTGTTGAATGTGAAATGTTTATCTTATATGAATAAAGAATAATATTTTTTTATGAGGTTGATTCCATTCTCAATATTTTGAACTATATATTTTTAAGTAGAGATTTATCACGTTACAAATACTTGTTCTTTAAAAGTTTTATATAAGACAATGCAACAACGATGTTTAAATAAAAGTTCTATAGGTTTTCGCTCTCATCTTCAATAAATATTACCTTGTTGTATCTGTTATAACCTGGCATTACTCAGTTTGTTGATGTGGCATTTTATTTATTATAGTTCACATATATTTCATTTCTTCTAACGACAGACAAGTATTCTGTTAAATAGCTGGTGTAAAAACCAAAACTTGTCTCATGTTCTTTTGTACCAGAATCGTGTTTATCGATAATAATTTTTTATAAATCTACTAATCCGTATTTTGCAGGCTACGTTCGGCTAGTAACTAATTTGGGTATGCTGAACCTAGAATTACACTGTGATATGGTCCCCAAAACTTGTGAAAACTTTATGAAACATTGTGAAAATGGATATTATAATGCTACCAAATTCCATAGGTCAATAAGGAACTTCATGGTAAGTTGAAATTTATTGTTGATTTCATTAATTACTTTTGTGTAAATATGTATATACATGATACTAATAATAGGTTCCTATGAAAGATATGATCTATGACTCATACAATTAAATTTGTTGGAACAGGAACAAGAAACTCATGGGATCATCTGTCATTATTTTTGCAAGGAATAATTCTTGCTTCACTTGGTTCCACCGAAATATATTTTTAATTGAAAATGTCGGCTACATTGAACTGTGTACTCGTTTCAAATTTCGGGTTTCTTGCCCCACAGATGGCTGAATGGTCAGTGTACAGTGGTTTCGTTGTCACTCAGTGTGACAGTGTTTATCATTGGGTTCAAGTAGATCTCTGTTTGTATTTAAATTGTATGTGAACAAATGTAACTGCTATTCTATTCATATTTTTGTACTGCCAACTGACTTTGTCAATAAGAATTTGTAAATAGTAGATAAGTTGATTAGGAAATGTAAATTCACGAACAAAAACTTCAAAAAGACGCTGATTCAAAGTTTATAATTCTTCAACATGAACTAAGATATACTAAATGATTAGATCTCATTTTTAAAAAGTTGAACATGAAAGTAGCTTCCTAAACTGCTTGCTCACTTCAACAAATGTTAGGTAGCCCCAAAGGCAAAATATTGGAAAATGAAAAGTCGGGGATTTATGAAGGCTGTGACAAAAAATATATTAGTCAGACTAAAAGCTATCAAAATTCTTTTCAAATAACATTCAGCATATATCCGATTTAGGAGACCAGATAAATCAAATGTCGCTCGATACGTCTTTGTAACCAGCTGTGGTATTAAACTTTTGGACGCTTTCGGAAGTATGCAAATAGTAAATTGTGGCACAAGAACTATGAACAGTGATATAGGTCTTATTCTGAAGAACCCATTGTTTACCTTCATTTGAATAACTGTTGAATTTAACGGGAACTTTCACGAGATAATTTCCCGCCAATTTGTACCCAGTTTTTATTATGTTTATATTTATGTAATGTTTCAATGTCTGATATCCGGAGTTTCCCAATTACAAAAATTAATAATCTCTTGATTTGACACAAAAAATCTTGAAGGGAAAAATTCAGCTTTTCTTGAATGTATATCAAGTATTATTTTCACTTTCATCATGTCTCATTTTTTATAAATTAATCCATAGCTAACAGGGTTGCAGTACATATGAGGAAAAAGTTAGTTAACAGTAAAATCTATTGGGGAATCAATTTTCACACTATAAAAATATTCCGTACAATATTTTTTCAACAATAAAGTAAAGTCGACGCCAACTAGAATGAGTCAGCGCAGAAACGTAAAATCGTTCTGTGTTAAAAGACTCCGCCCACTTAAGTCATATTTCACCAATGTACTATTGATATCAATTTGTGTGACCAATATCTATCTTCTGGAGCGGGTACAGTTTGGTTTTGAATACGCATCAAAATCTCATCTGTTAGCACATACTATATTTGAACATTGAAAATTGTCATTTTGCTAGCACAAATACTCTCATATTGAAACTGGTAGACTATCTATATAACTGTACTCATAGGAATGCCATCTACAGTGTGGTCCACTAAGTCTGCAACAAATGGGAAACTTTTTTATTATTGATTTCTCAGAAAATTTTATTCTTGACAAAAGATGGTGCATGTTCCAAAACTATACCAAGTGTACCTGAAATGGCTTTATGATAAACACCATACAGGATACGCCAAAAAATATAAAGTTATGTTCAGATACGAAGTCATGGCCTGCTATTCGATTTTTTTTTGTAAAATTTTTAATTACCCTCGTATGATACATATTTTTACTATTTTGATTTAATATGTATTTGAAGTAGCCACAATCAAATCAGTTTGGAGTATTTTTTATCAATTAAAGTGTATTTGTAAAATGTACTTGGATTTGTATTTTTTTAGGTGACCGGCAACTTCATGTTTGTTGCAACGATATTTAACAGAACTCTAGAATAAAACAAATACTCTTTTTAACGAGGCAAATACTTTACTAACTAAATGTTCATATAAATAAACTGTCAATAAAAGTATAAAATTTCTTTTATTCTGACAACAATGCCTCAACTAGAACA